CACATCAGGAATTTGGCGACGGGACCTTCACTGCTCTCACCAGGGCAGGTGCTGCCGTGGGCCTCCTTGCGCTCGTCCTGGAGTCATAAACACAACAGCGACAACTCCTGAGTCAAGCAATTGCCCTTGGTACAGCCAAATGGGGTGCAGAACTGCGGTTGTGCAGACAATTAATGAACTCAGGTTGGCTGCTGCTGCATCCGCCATCCACTTCCAAGGGGAAGGAATTTTCTTGTGAGATATTTGAGCAGTGTGGTGGATGTAATCCATCCCTGTCAGCTGTCAATAACCCCCCTTGAGCAGGGGTATAGTGCCATCGAGCACGGGTAGTGTTCTTCTTCTTAGGCAGAGAGTGTGCATGGAGTGGGTTTGCCACTACTATCATTGGAAAATCTTAAGTGGAAGGGCAACAGTCCTGTCTTTGTTGGACGGGTTGCAAGCGCCTTTCGCATTCAAAAAATATGCTCCACAGTGTGGGCACGAGTCTTTGATTTACAAATTTGCCTGCCAAAGAATTTTGCACATGGCACGATTTTAGGCACCCAAACATGGACCAGCAACAGCGCATAGTGCACCCTTTGGCCAACAGGCTTGTGTATTGTCCCCATCACTCAAGCACAGCAATGCACAGCAGCTGTCGCAGCCGCTGTTGCATTTGCACATATACACAGCGCACCCAATTTGCAGCGCATTGGGCTCCAGCACCATCATGACGCACTTTGCTCATTTTGTCTTTGGTGCTCAATTATTGTTGCCCCCCGGAAGGAATTTCGGGATACTTTGGGCCAGGAGACAAGAGCAAGCCTTCTCCAACAAGCCGTAGTACTGGAAACTAAGCCTGCCATCGTCTTACAGAGGCAATTCCAGTGAGTGTCAGATATTGGCAAGAGTAGCCCAGCGGGTTGTCAGAAATTTGGGCTACAGGAAGATATGCAATGTTGTATTCCTGTGCGATCTCACCTTGTATTGCTGGAGCAATGTCCTCAAGGTTTGGTTCTCTTGGGATTGTTCCTTGGCCATCTTCAGGGCGTCCTGGAGTTGCTCTGCAACGAAATGAGGAGACTTTTGATTCTCCCAGAACGGTGGGGTGAGTGGTATGCAGGAAAACCTCTTGTCAATCTTGGCGGATCAACCAGGCAGATCAGTGGGATGGTCAAGTAAGCAAGCAACAATGCGCACTGCATATCAATGACAAACTGCCTGTGGCAAGAAGAGTATCCAGACACAATTTGGGCCATTTTATTGTACCACAGAGCAGATGCACTTTGGACCCACCTTATGCGTAACATTTATGCCACTTTTGCATTTTGCATTTTATTTTGGATGGAAGACATATCTTACAATTGGCGCCCTGTCCCTGGAGAATGCCAGAGTGTGGAAGTTCAATTTTCAAGGTGTCAAGGATCGGTCCACTGTGGCAGCGGAAGGTCAGAAGAAGATCTTGGGGCATCCCTGGACTGGCAGCCACTCACCTCTCAGTTGATCCTCTCGCCACTGGTGAGTGGGCTCTAGGGGCTTGTCGCCACGATGCATACCAGCGCCACCCACAAACACAAGATCCGTGCTTGCGAATGAGGTGCCATAATTTTGAGCAAGATTCAACACCTGTGGCAAAAGGCTTGATGTCATCAAATGCCAGTGGAAGCTTACCAGAATTAGTCTCACACACAGATGGATATGGTACAGCATTGTGCTGGACTGGTAGGCTACATCTGCACCAACAGTTTGCATAGGCATTGTGTGCAGCCCTTGCTGTGATGGCATGGGAGTGGCGTGCCCATTATGCGCAGCATTGTGAGGTTACTCTCAAAAAATGATGATGTCTGATGATTTAAACTCAGCAGAGACACATGCCATGACCACTGTGGCATGTTGGCATCTCTGTTATGGATACATTCATTTTTAATCTGTCAACTCATCTGATGCAAAGCTCTCCTGCATGTATGTGCATGGATTTTGCCTGACTCTGCTAGAGCACCAACTGCCACCACTGTTGCCACAAGTACAGGTCTCCATGAAGAGATTCTTATCGGTTGTGATGCAACAAAAATGACAGCTGGCATCACCTCTTGGCTGTAAAGGCAGTGCTTTGCCAACAATGACAGGTGCAATCAATCTGCACTTCCACGGCAAGACTGCCAATGACAAGCATCTGCAATACCATCTTCAAGTTCTGGGGTTTGAACATCACAGCACCTTTTGTTCATCGAACTGCTTCAACTGCTCATTTGCTCACCTGGGAAATGGCAGATTCCACTTGTTCATCCGTGAGAGGACTGAGTGGATGCAGAAAGATGCTCCAAATGTACTGACGGTCGATGGCATACCGTGCATCCAAAGCGCTGTGGAAATTGGCGCTCATCAACTTTGTCAGAAAGCTGGATTGTGCTGTTTGTCCTGTTATTTTGGCAACAGGTACAACGAAGCGCATCCTGTCCACACCCCGGCGGGCATCTGTCATACAAAAGAAACGGTATTTCTGGTCGCCGTCGAGCATAACTTCGGCCTCCCAATGCCCATTGGAACCTGCAGCCATTCAACCATACACCAGTCACCAGTTAGCCAGCATTTAAAGCAGCAGCACTCAAACACAGTTTGCAGGCAACTTTGCAAAAGTGATGAAGGTAGACAGATGTTGTGCAACTGCAGCATTTTTGCTGACACTTTGCTACTGATAAGTTTATGGACTAGATGTCCCTGATGGCCATCACGTACAGCACAACCACCAGATGGAACTTGCCATTGGTCCTTTAGGCCCTTGACAAACAACGCACTTTTGGTTGTGTGCAAAAGGCATGAGCTTGCTTGTATTCAGGCAGCGTTCCCAACACGCAGTCGCAGTCTTCCATACTTCTCATCGCGTTTTGGAGTGTTCACATGCCACGTTGCCCCGTATGTTGTTTTTTTTCGCATTGCAAAACAGGGCAGCATGGGGCAACAAACAAGCTGGATCCCCTGAAGATGAATGTGGGAGAGTCTGCATCCTGAAATTCTCTACTTCGAGGGCCTGCCAGATGCATACACACCAACAAGCTGCAGCAGATGCAGCAGACAACAGTTCGCATTCCCGCCGTGTTCCCTCCATCAGCATCAAGAGCAGCTCGCGGCCTTGTGCCCACAAAGAAAACGCTGATTCTGACCCCCCGCAAACCCAAGTGGCGAGGGAGCCAATCTATCTGTAGGTGGCTATGAACTATTGTCCATCGCTGGGTCCCTGCCCCAATTTCCGATGACATTTCCAACTGAAGCTCAACGGAAATTACTCCGCGCACGTGCACGCCGCGCGCACCGCACTGCCAGTCGCCTGACACGCGCATTTCCCAACAACCTTCTCCTCGCAGCTGCAAGTTCTGATCAAACGCAATCGCCAAAGCAAACGGCGCCGGCACCAAGAGGCTCACCTTCCCCGTAGCTGGTGGATGGCACCCAGCCAAGCGCACAAAACGCAGCAAAATAATTCCCCTGCTTTTTGTCCCTTTTGTTACAACGTCTCAAGCAGCTCGCGTGCGCGGGGCTAGGCAAGGCCACCGTCAGGCCGTCTTTAAAGACGGCCTCAAATTTGAGGAACGCGGGTGTCGCAATTCCCTCTAAAAGCGAAGGGATACCAAACTGGCCAAGAATTCAACGACGCCATGTTTTAAAATCACCCCCCTGGGGTTTGGGCGCCTGATTCTGTGTGTACGCATTGTTATGCATCGGCATGGGCACCTCGGGACGGCGCCTCCGGACACCTCACCCGACAGCCCCGGCAGCTTCCGCCTCAGCAGCTCTCCCAGCCGCGCGTTGGTCATGGCATTGCGCGGCTGCTGGCTCGCCGTCGACCCCATCGGCGGCCTTTGCGCGCCCCCTCAGCAGAGGGCAGTCGAGCTTAACGATCGGCCTTCGGAGAAACGTGGGCACCGCTCTCGAGAGTGTGCGTGCGTGCGGCGGTGGTGGACAACGCGTTTTGCGCCTGCGGATTGGCTTCTTCGTGGGGATTGGCACTGGGATCGTCATCAGGCGAAGGGCCGCGTAATGCTGGCCGGCAGTGTGTGGCGTAGATGACGTTGAAAATGCAGCGAGGGTCCAGGGGGGCGGCCCCTGACTCGGGTTCTAGTGCACGGCAACACTTTGCAGCGGAGCGCAGGGACAACATGTGTCCCCTTCCACCCAGTCCGTTCACCAAATTGGTGAATGCCATTGAATGCCATTGAATGCCCTCAATGCAATTCCTAATGCCTCATCGCCTCTTTATGCGTCCAGCTGCTAACACAACTCGTTCATTTATAGTTACAACAACGAAAATTGGGGATGGCGGTGATAGAAAGGGAGCTGGAAACATGCGCAAAAGGATGCTGGTTGCGGTTGAAGACGAGACGTTCGCGAGTTATGCGGTATGGCGTACAACACAAAGAAGGTTTGATATGGACTCTTGAAAACCGCGGCCGCCTGCAATCATTCTTACATCAGTCACGCTTGCGACAACATGCAAGAATCGCTTCATCGAGCGAATTTGCGCCCCGCCATTTTTGGTTCGCTGAGGGAAGGCCCAATTTCGAATTTGGTACGCTTGGCATCAATTTGACGCAAAGGGGGGGCAGTCCAGACCTGTGACGCTAAGAGATTGTGTAATCGCCATAAAAATCGACGTAAGTTGTGGACACAACCTAAATGCCGCTGACCAGTGTCATACCACTTACGGCTTGCTCGAACAACTCTCCCAACCCTTCAGTATTTAAGAAAAGCTCCATGTTATCTCAACTGACGGCCTTCGGGGCTATCCCCATCGCTTGCCGTGCTTTTTAGTATCCAATTCTTAGCCCAGTAGAATCGCTGCCAATCTAGCAATTGTCTGCTTCAAAAGCATCATCAAAATTGTGTCGCCCAATTGGGTAATGCCGCTGAGTCATCTTGGTATCGACACAAGGACTGACACTAAGGAGGGGGGGGGGGGGGGCTGGGGCTCTGATCTGGGTGCCAACTCGACGTTAGGCATTTCGAAATCGACAAAGCGTCTGCCCTCACCCTTGACATCAGTCCCTTTCTAGTAGATTAATATGCTGTCGTGTAGGCACATGGGTCTGCACAATGGACCCTGCCGAGTGGAAAGTTCTGACAATATGTGGGAAGGAAATGCATAACCTTATGGCCGACTGTGAGCAGAACCAAACAGACTTGGGCTCTTCTTTCATGGTACAATGTGCTCCTGGCCTCAAACAGACTACTCACTATAATTTCCACCAAGAAGAGAAATCTAAGTTCGTTTGGGTCACCACACACTACCATTACTAGTTGGCGTCTAGACTCTCGCATCAAAACGATTTAAAGAAGAGCTTCCTGAGTTCAAAACCAAATCCAGTGTCAGCTCAACTCTAGCCTATCCATCCTAGATTTGCATGCGGCCACCCTCCAACTCACCTCACCATCGCACAAACAGATCACCAGAGCGGTTCTTGACGGAAGATGTTCAGTGGTCTGGTATCGATAGCCCATGCAACAGGCAGATGCAGGGTTGGTTTTTACGTTTACGTTTACGTTTTCACTTTTACGTTTTTGCGCGTAAAAACGTAAATTTGCAAAAGGGCCTATTTTTAAGGTTATTTTTACGTTTTTACGGCTCCCTGGGACGCCCAGACTACACGACGAAAGTTCGCACAATGGCCAGGCCTGCGCCATATTCAGACCCGCAACACAGTGTCCACCTCGCCCTTGGCAAGGGCGATAACGGTGCTCAACAAAAACTCGTTTTCTGCCCTTTCCAGGGCGTCTGAATGCCACTCTCCGAACTCCGTAAGTCTGTGTGTACTGTCCTTATGTACAACGGGCATTTTTTACGTTGCATTTACGTATTTTTACGCATTTTACGCGTAAAAACGCAAAAGCTGTTTTTACACGTAAAAACGTAAATACGATCAGTTTTTACGGCGTAAAAACCAAGCCTGGGCAGATGAAAGCAAGGAAACTGGGTAAGGGACCAGCATCAACAAACTTCACCACGAATTGGAAATCCATTCCTTTACCACAATGGCACCGAATTGCTATCAACGATTATTGTTGTGATTGTTGTTATGGTGAAAACCGAAGTCGTTCGCCGGACGCTGACACACGGTCGATCCTAGGCACGGGAAGCATGGGCGTAATCAGATGCATTACATGACAAGTTTGTCATGTAAACTTGTGCGCACGGTGTGCTCAAGCGCACCAATCAAATAACAGTTGCTGAAATGTCCCGAGTAATCGGACTTGTTGTGAATGGCATAAAAACTTTCTCTTTATGGCTATTTACGCGCAAAAAATGGCTTTACTTTTTTACACGTAAACAGCCGTAAAAATGAATCAAAATGGGTAAAAATGGGTAAAATCGTCTTTAAGTACTTAAGGACAGTACACACCAACCCAAAGAGTCCGAGAAGTGGTAGCTAGACACGCTGAAGCATGCGTAAAACGATCATTTGCTCGGCGACATCGTTGCCTTGCTGAGGGCCAGGTGTGCGCTGTTCTGCTGGTGCTGGAAAGAGTGGATGATGGGTCGTTGACTGGGGGACATCATGTAATATGGGTGTATCTACTAGCTGTACATATGCGTAAATATGGCCGCTTCTCTATTTTCGCGTTTTGCGCCTAAAAACGTAAATAACAAGTCTGTTAGTAATCACCATATCTCCGATATTTGTTTCACCATATTTTAGCACGATGCCCCCCACGTCCAGCCTTACCATCACCAGCACCATTTTCCTTATAATTACCTGCTTAATTTCCTCGCCCTCATAGCTGTGACCGTACATTATCTACAGCTCCTCGGGCACTCAATCCCTCACCCCTGGCTCGGCCGGCCCAGTCCAGGCTCGGGTTGGGGTACACGGTTGCACAGCTATTTCATACTTTGCCAACCACCGGGGGGCACATCCCGGATGGGGACAAAAAGACGAATGAATGAAGGAAAATCCTTACAGCCAACGTGAAAAATCGTCACACTGGTCACCTCACGCGCCTCTGCTGAACTCGTAGACCAAAAGACAGCGTCCCTCTCAGAAGACCAAAAGACGAAGGCCACACCAACCTCCCAGCGCCCCTTGTGGTTGTTGCCACCCCTGAATGGCTCCCTGGCGAATCGCTCGCCCCCATGCGTGCTGCCCCGATGCTGTTCCCAGGCGGCGCGGACGGGCGCGACGCCCATTCACGCCTGGCGCCTTCCATGCCCTCGCTCGTTCGATTGCCCTTCCGGTACCACGGCAGGCTAGAGGATCGAACATCCTCCAACAGAAGCCGCTCAGTTAGAAAGCACGAGTGCAAGACCTGGGGAGAGATCGCGGAAGGTGCCGAGGATGTCGCGAAGTGAGTTGGGTTACTGTTGTTGGCATGGCTTGCTGTGGGCGCCCAAGGTGAGGGGTGGGCTCAAATCCTTAGACTACATTTGTCAAACAAAAACGTTAAAGGGGATGTTGGGCTGTGAGGGGCGGGTCACTGGGCTAGATTTCAGGAATTACAATTTCGAGGACATGTGGCACTTATGCTGTAGTGCTCCAGGTAGTGGCTCATTTGGCCAGTGATCTGCTTGGGGCGCGAGGGAAGGACAATGCTCTCTGACGAAACGGCACCACGGAGAGCCGCGACAGGATCAATCCAGGATGTGAATTGCATGGCTCCAACTTTACCGTTACTGTCTTCACTCTATGCCCACCTTTCACTGTCTGCTTTCCTTTCCTTCTTTGCATCCCTTCCAGAATGGTAAATCCCACGTGCCGTCGCAGAACTTTGGATTAATTTCTTTAATTTTGGGTTTCTTTCTTGGCTTGGGATCCATAAGAGTGGTGAAATGTCTGTAACGGAGCAACACTGTGAAGGCATTAGGCACTCGTTGTCATCAACATGGTTTAAAGGATTGTCTGTGTTCATCTGCAACAAACACAACCAAAGATTCCCTTAGAGTCTTGCCCTGTTGTGATGTTACGCTGCCCATCACAGCACATGTTTGCTTGAGCCTGGTCAAAGGACGATTGCTACTGCTGCTACTGCACCCACTGCCATCTTACCTCATGCCACGGAAATGGTGTCAAAGTGGTGTCAAAGTGTCCACTCAGTTTGCAATTGCAAAAGAGCGGCAACCAATGCAAGGCGCGATGCTGCAAGTGTGGGACAACGGACCTTGTGTGGTGTGTCGATTGATCCTTTGGGCACCCATCCATAACAAGAATATTCACACCACTGCAATCAATTTTGTTTGCAGCGGAACTCGTCTGCTGGGGTGCATGGACATACACTGTGTGGGTAGCTGGGAGACCTGCCACATTCCTGAATCAGCTCGACTTACCTCGACTTATCTTGACTTGTTGTATTTAATTGCAGGTTGTGCTGGCTCCAAAGAGGACACTTGGTTGAATGCAACAGTTGCAGGACTGTTCAGATGACGCCGCTGTTGATGGTCTTGTCTGTGTGCAGGGCTACTGTTGACAAGACGCTGAACACAGGCAAGGCAGCTTTAAAGATTGTCAGGAAAAGCACAGCTGAGTCACCAACAAAAACTGGACCAGCAACAAGACAGAGGACCTGTACAGGCAGAGTCTCTCTCCTTGAGAAGGTGAGCGCCAAATTGCGAGGAGCAGCAGTTGGAATGCCTTGCATCCACATGGCATAGACATCTTTTGTCCAAGAAGTGCCACAATAACAAAGAATTACTGTCAGAAGGTAGCTGCCTGTGCGTGAAATGTACTGCTGTGCGCAAGACTCTTCCAAATGTGAGCTGCAACTTGACATTTGGTTGGCCATTATCATGGCTGGCATCCTGGTTCCCATCATGATGCGAACCTTCTCCACCAGCTGGCGGGCAGAATTATCCGTATTTTGCCCTTCCGGATGCTTTCCGGGTGCCCTGCCTGCGCTGACACCCATTTCTCTGACTTGTCAAACAGTCAAGTTTGCTTGAGGGACTGGTTTGGAGGGGCATCAGGGTACCGGCAGGAGGTGCGATCAGTGGTGTAAGCGCACAGGCGAGAGGATGAACAACGCGGGTGAGCAATCAGCTGTCCATGATTCTGCGACAGGGGTACCCTGTTCCACGTCTGCAGCGCTGTGATATCTTGTGCACATGTGGACGAGTGTGTGTCGTTACCCCGTTTGAACACGTTTGTGGAATGGATTACTAATCTTGTACGCGATAGCGAAATTGCTCCTTTCTTTGCGACAGAGGCGATAATTTGTGAGGCTTCGTAATGGCCCACCCTCTCTTGGGGTTTGTTCGTTTGAAAATTTGTTTGTTCGTTGGCTCTTGTAAATGAAATGAATCTGGCGATGCCGAAAATCACCGAAACGCACAGATTTGGAACACTCCACCCCCTCCTGCGTTTCTGGCACCAACCGCCTGTCCTGGCCCAGGCGAGTGGCCTCCCACCCAAGCGCCAGTCGCAACGCACACAAACGGACGGCCGCCCATCGGCCGCCTCGCGCCCCTCGGGCATCCGATCGGCATCTCCGCCGGCAGTGAGCTGCTGATCCAATTGCTCCATTCGCCGCTCGAATCCGTCCATGGCTGATGAGGGCCGGCAGGAACCCAACGCGGCCTGGAACAGGGCTGCCGGCAGCGAGGGGGCGCCCCTGGAGGCGATGAACGAGAGGACTCGAAAACTAGAATGGGATCTCAAGGTGGGGCAAGTGGGGGGAGTCGACATGAGGTGGCAATCGATGGTGCTACTGGCAAACCCAATGGCAGCATTCCATGGATAATGGCATGGTTTGCCGGTAGCTGCAGCATAAAGGGAGCAGCGCGATGGAATGAAGGAGTGGAAACTTGGCGACCTCTGCAGGGAAGGAGTGCAATGAGCTGGTGAATGCCCCGTGACTGCAGAAGCTCGGCATTTTCCGCGAATGGATGATGGGCGGATGGGGCGCTGGGGGCTTGGTTGCAGATCGGCCGCCCTTCTCGATCGTGCGCAGCTCCCTTTGCGTTTCGGCGACTGCGACTGTCCGCATCGACTGCTTGACCTTTCGCTCAGGACGATGCGATCACCCTGTGGGGCAGTTTTCGACCCGCCAAACTTTGACGCTCAGTTTGGGCTTTGCGGCGTTGCGACGCGTTCCGCGGCCTTCGAGAGGGGTCTCTGAGCACCGAGGCTCCATCGCTGGGCACGCCGTGCCGTAGGGAGGGCGGAACCCGCGGCTTTTATCGCCCCAGTCGTCGCAGGTTGGGGGTCGGGGCGCAGGGCCAATGGGGGATTGTTCAGCGCGGTGGTTCCGGTCTGGCAGTTTAATTCAGACCGAAGGGCTGTCGTCTGCTTGCCCCAGTGGCGATCCCGCTGATGCTGCCCGCCCAGGAGGTGCAAGGACTTTTGGGGCACAGCATCTTTGTTCTTCTTTTGGAAGGGAGCGGAGGTTTGTTTCTTCGACAAAGAAGGAAAGCTGTGTGGATATCTCGATGCTGGGGAAGTGTGTGCGGGTACCTAGGTATATGAGAGATCGTTGTGGGGCGGGGGCGCTAAAGATTTGTTACAAAGAGAAAGAGAAACGGGTCATATAAAGAATGCCCCTTCGTAGGCAAATGTGTGTGATGCTCCTTTCCATGTGAAATGATGGGGGAGGGAGAGGACAAGCAAGGGGCCCATCTTAGCCTGCTGGTTGTGAGGGCCCTGGTTGGTACCGTGAAGTCAAATATTGCGCAAGAAATTGAATTGATCGTGCGAACGGCAGGGCTCTTTCTGTGGAGCCCGTTTGGCGCACCTGAGCATCTCTGTCGCAAGATGATGTGTCAACGGGCGCTGGTGGCTTGCGCAGTGTTCCAAGAGGGCATATGACAGGCAGTACGCGCTGCACAAGGACCAGGTGGACTTGGATGCCAGGCTGAGGGAGGAAGTGCGTGAGTTGGAGTGCGCGACGGACAGGCTGGAGCGCCAGGGGCTGTTGCAGCTGCGCGAGCGCCGGAGGATGGCTGCAGAGGAGTTGAGGGCATGGAGGACGAAATTGGATGAGCAGAAGGCCGTTGGCGCAAGGTGGATAGCCAGGGGGAGGGAGCAGCTTAAGGACATATTGAACACACTGGAGGTGGGGCACTGGTGTGCTGGTTCCGTTCGTTGCGGTTGTGGAAAGAGATGATGAACAGAGCTCATGCACAAGCAAAGATGATGGGATGTTGTAATTGAGAGAATCTGCACACCGCGGCACTGAATGGGAGGCAATTGCCCTGCTCACTTAGCAATCAAACCCAAACAACCAGTCAAGGTACAATCAGGTCACAATGCCTCTGAGATCATGCTTTCAGAATAAGATATGCCAAGCCATGAAAGATGGTTGTAACAAAAGGAACACAGGTCACGCTGTGGGTGCCATTTCCTGAGGAAGAAGGCAGGGGACTGGCTTCCAGACAGTGAAACGAGGCATTCTGTGAGTCACCCTGCTCAGTGGCAGTGAAGTTCCCAACACCGATTGGATAGGCACTGCTGTCTTGAGTGTGCTGCATGACACCAAGGTGCCTGCACTTCTGCAGATGGAAAAGGCTGCTATAGCGGAGAGGCGGAGGGCAGCTGAAGCCAAGATGGTGGATGTGGAACGTTCCAAGGTCCCACCTTGCCTGCAGGTATGTTGGATCATAGTTCTTCTCTAACTAACGTGGGTTGTGAGGAAGTTTGGCCCCTCTGGCTGTAGATTTGTGAGGGCTGCTTGCTGAACAGCCCAACGTAGAAGTGCTGACATGATATGGGTTGCCCTGCCTCACTTATGGTGAAGCGGATGTGCTGCTGTGATTGTCAGCCATAATCTCCAACTTGGTTTCCTATCATTTCCCTTGCAGGCAGCCTGCACCACATCAGCAGGTTCGGGTCCCTCTCAGCTTCGTAAATGCAGTTGTGCCGTATTTGCCATCGTCTGTGTGTGTGGTGCCATGTCTATTGGCTTCAGAGTGGTCTTGTGTGGCCTGTAGTCTCTTGCAGGGTTGGGTTGTAAGAGCACTGTGATTGTATGATATTCGGATGCTGTCTTGGTATCCTCTCAGTTTTCCGTGCTGGAATGTTGTGTAGCATGCGTGTTTCACCGCAACATGTGACTGCGATGCTGTCACACCCGCTGTTGCCCATTCACTACATGATCTGATTCGTGACAAATTGTGAAGAAGAGGGTGTGGAGTGAGGCTGCATGAACATCAAAATGCCGCACATCAATCCAATGATCGTATTTGTCCAAAATTGACGGAGAACTGCCCAAGTACCTTCCCAGGCGATGATGTTCCAATGCCATTTACAGAGTTTGTGCTGGAGCATTTGGTAATCTCAACTGGCCCTGAAAAATGCCCTGGAATGTTGTGGGTCATGCAGGAGGATGTGGAGCAGCTGAAGAAAATGTCCTCTGCCTTGGAGGCAGAGGTCCCTGCCAAGAAGGCCAATGTGAAGAAACTGAACGCATGTGTGGAGGAGATGACTGCCAGACTGGCGAGGAAGAAGAAAATCCTCAGGCAGTACTTAGAACAAGTCAAGAAGCTGAAGACCCAGCAAAAGGTGAGAGGGAACAGCGCTGTGGCAAATGTCAACAACTGTAGACAAGAGGCAAGATGGTAAACAGTGTGTACCTGGACTGCACAATTTTGCAGAGCAGTGTTGCCTATTAAAAATGCCTCTACCTTGTTGTTCTGTAACACGATGGGACACAAACAAAGAGCTAGTTCACGCTGTTTCACTTCCCAATCCTCTTGCAATTGAACTGCCAGCATAGCATTGGATGTTGACAGCAGCATTCAACAAAGGGCTCTTTTTTCTCTGTCTTCTGTATCCTAAAGGTCCCTTTACAACTGGCGTGCAGCTTGCCAACAGGTTCTCAGCAACGCCCAAAGAGTCATGGGTTGGCCCCACTCCCCCATTTTACATCGACAGACACAAATCTGGCAGGCAAAACCAGGGCCTTGTTTATGGCAGCGTGACGGTTGCCGACGATGAGAATGGCCAGCCCCATACAGAGAAGGTCCTGAAGAGACCTGGCATTGTGCCCATCCTATACTACTGTGATGGTGTTCCACTAATGTCGACTGGGGGTGGGACACCACCCATCAAGTCTTACCTCCTACACACGATCAGGGAGGAGAGTGGCCCAAGAGAAGACAGTGCAGAAGCAGACAAGAGCCCCTGCGTGGGGGAGGAAGAGGGCGCCAACGGGAAGCATGCTGAGCATAAGGACTGCATGGAACCAGAGTGGGTGAAGACGGTGTGTTCAGTGCTCTCTTGTAGTTGGAGAACATGTCATGCACTTGTGTGCCTGTTTGTTCAAGTCGAACAGAGGGTGGTCATATAGAGGGGATTCCTGTCCTGTCAAAGCTCCTGCTGCTTTGCTGTGCGGAGGGCAGGCTGTGTTTCGATGGCTTGGCTGCTGTTGCCAGCACCACTGAGATCAGTGCATGTGCTCAGATCACTGCCTTGTCCTTCAACCCGGGGTGCCGCTGGCTCACCATCAACACCCAGATGCACGATCACCAGTGCAGCCAGGACAGCCACAACGGCCAAGAGAATTCAGTCGCCAAAAAGTGGCGATGCCCAAGAATCTGCAAAGGTGTGGCACATGATGCTGTTGCAGAGGTTTACTCACAGCAGCCATTGCATACTTGTATTCTAGGTACTGCCATCCTGCAAGCAAAAATTCATTGCCAATGCTGCACAATCTGGTGTTTTGTAGAAGCACCTATTGTTGGGCTGTGTGGCACTGCACCTCCCCTTGCTTTGGAACTTGTATTTTAGATACAGATGACAGTTGTCCAACCAGACATAAGCAAACCCGGCAACTACACCGCGTCTTGGCTGAGCTCGCCGCGAAGTCATATACTGACATCCATCCGATTATTCTGCACCATCTGTATTTGGAGAAAATCATGGCACACACTTCTTGCTTGGAACGGGGTTGCACATTGTATGGCAGGTGCTCTTTTGAATGGCAGCACTCACCAATGCGATGTTCCAATTATTTCAGGCAAGGCCAAGTGCTAAGAGGAGCAAGACGTCAACAAGTGGTGGGAAAGTATTTTGGACAGACTATCGCGCCTGGCGCCAGGAGAATGAATGCAAACCGTATCTGCAAGAACAAACCTGGCTGAAGGAGGTGAGGCATTGCTGCCTGTTTCATGAGTTTTGCCTGATGTTGCTCAACAGAATGCGCTGGCATGGACACCAGACAGTTCGGCTGATGGTGGATACCCAATTTGCGACTTCAATGGATCATCCATGAGTGGGACCAATGTTGTCTGCCACAACAAGCAATGCGCTTGTCTGTGTGTGCTCTGTTCAGATGTCTAGGCGTGCGGAACAAGAAATGAAGGAGGCACAGGAGGAAAGGAAGTGGAGGAGGTGGAGGAGGGAGCACCAGTTCATGGTGGGGCACTGTCAGGGCTGAACTTGTGGCTTGCACACTTGATGCTGTATCGCACAGCATGTCTGAGGAGTTTGGTGTTGCGCATTGACTGTGCATCACATTACATCACTACAATCTGTTACCACCCACAACGAAACAGGCACACAGTTAAGTGTATTTTCGTTTGCTGGTATGTGCGGATTGGAGGTCACTTGCCTGAACATGTATTGCCATCGGCTGGACATGTGCTACAGGAAAAGGATTGGATCACATGTGGTTGTTCCACCATCCCGAAAAGCATGGTAAAGAATGGTTGGGAAGTTCTAATGTCAAGTCCCCTTTTGCACAGGCTCAGCCGATGCCACAGTTCAGGGAGCCAGTCTTGGAGTGCCACAGTGACAAGCAGCCGACAGTCCCTGCTGCTCCAAAGCTCTGGGCAGATGAAAGGGCAAGGACACGGAAGTTCCCAACCCAAGAGGCAAGTGCAGTCTATGCAAAGCTGAGGAAACAGTACATTGCCAGAACGAGGCAGAGCAAGCCCAAGACAGGGATTGAGTAGTTGTTGCAGTACTTCTTAGTTGAAAGACGGTTCGCCGTATGCTGGCATATGGCTCCCAAGTGAAACCAGGCCTTTGTGTTGAGGAAAAGGTGCTTCTGAAGAGGTATGTGGTGCTCCGGGTGCTGTCACCAGTGCTGATGAGGAAAGATCGGAATTGGCCCTTGAGAATATGGAGACAACTGGTAATTGAGACTGGGGAGTTGATTGGCAAACTTTCTAAATTGACAATTTCGCTGTTGAAGAGTGGATAACAGCTGCCAAGTAATGCACTGCGGAAACGGGAGGGCAGATAATCCCACAGCTGTGGGCAACCAGGTCTGATCCTGGTCGCTCGCAGCGATCTGCACTGGTACCAACCATAGCTGTATACAAGGGCCATAGAGAAAGAAACAGTCGCTGTTCGTTGCAGCACGACACACACAGAAGCACACTCAGAGGATCGGTCTTGTCAACTTGCTCAGCCGAAAAAACTGGCTCAAAAGGCCAGGCTGGCAAGAGCCATGCCAATTGGGTGGGATTGGGTGCAAAACCCTCTGGATCCTCCATCATGCTCTGAAACCGGGTTTCTGTGCATGATCGATGGTTGTCACACTCTTGAGCTGACCACATAGCTGGGCGCATTACATGTTGATAGGTTGCCTGTCGCTTGCCCCATGCAAGTCGTAACTTGCGATTGACAACGTCTAGCGCTTTCGTTCTGCTTTTGTTTACCACTTTCTTGCTTGGTATTTCCCCGAAAATGCGCCGCTTGCTTGCTTCAGCGGTTCGGGAAAAAGGGCTAAAAACATACAACGGTGCGCAGTGCGGACTCAGTACAGTGGGGTCCCTATATAGCGCCCCCCCTTGACATGGCCAAAAATGCGGCGCCATAGCGGGCTGGGGGGCTAAAAAAACTATATGTTTTAATGCATTTAATTGTATTTCTAGTCATAAAATAACACACTCCATCGCAAGAAGACAGCGAAGTAGACCCATTAGCCGTGTGACGGCCTGTTCAGATGCCAAATTCACCCATCACACGGGTGTACCATGTGCCATCGTGCCACGCCAGTGGAGCACCGTGTTTTGGGCTTGCATAGATGTTACACGGTGCCTGTCTTAATTCATCACGTGGACTTGCACGGCATTGCCTGCATTATGAATGCGGATTGCGTCCAACTGGCCATGTGTACGCGTGGTCGGACGGGCGGGCGCCACCAACCCGTCATAAGTTTTCTGTTGTGCTGGTGGGACGTCCTTTGCGTCCCAGTGCTTGCGCCGTTGCAAGCGGCGCATCACACAACGAACGCGCCTCGCCGCTCCCCACCTGTGCGGCAGGTCGCCCGGAGCCAGGACTTTTCCTGCGTGCGAGTTGCGTGGCCCAGAGTAGCAGGCGCAGCATGCACAACGAGTGCGGGTGGTTGTGCAGGTAGGCAGAGAAAAGCACGCATCAAAGAGTGCGAAGCGGCGGGTTTGGGAGTGTGATGGCCACATCCTCCCCCGCTAATTTTGCCCCGGTGGCCACCGATTGGTGCCATCCATGGGTGCCCTGATTGACACCCGCGCGTGCCATCAATCGGCGGGCGCAAGGAGCCAAGGCGGGCAGGGCCCACTGCGCCGTCCGTAGATGGAGTTCCGCAGCGGAACCCACACATGCCCTGGCCTCACGAGGAGGCGCCGGACCCGGGCTCCGGGGCGGACACACCAGAGGCGTCGTCCACCCGTCCGCGATACGCCAACTTCGCGGAAACGGACGGCCGCCACAGCACCCATCCACCGGACACCTCTTGGCTAGTTTGAGGGCCCACTGCGCCGCAAAGCTGCATAAAGTACTACAGAAATGGTGGGAAAGCAAACAAAGGGCACTGTACCCGAAAACTCGCCACGCAAATCGCACAAAAGAGTGAGGTAGGTCGGCGAGGAGATTCCTGGGATCGCGGGCCCCCGCGGCCCGTCCCAAGGAATATGGCGACCACCTCTGGGCCTCCCGTCCGTTGCCCAGTCCCTGGGCACCGTTCCCCCGCGAGCGTTTCTTCGCTGACTGCTGCCCTCCTCCCCCTCCCCCTCCCCATCTGCCTTGTTGCCGACAATCGTTGAGATGCCCTCTGCCGCGCAAGAGACGGTGATCGCGGACAGCCTTGACGGGGTGGATCTGCACAACTACAAGATCCAGCAGGCCTCATCCCCACAAGATGTTCTGCGCCAGCGTAGGGGCCGAAATGCTGCGGGGCGCCCGGCAGCCCAGGAGGAGGATGGGGGCGCCAGGCGGGGTCCTGGGGTGGTGTTCTGGGAGGACGCGCCCCAGGTGCTGAAGTTCAACCGCTTCATACGCAGCGGATACCGGGCGGGGTACTCCTACCCGCAGTGCCTGGCCAGCCTGTGGGGCCTCCACAACGAGACGGGCAACATCTGGACGCACCTGCTGCCCGCAGTGGCCCTCGCGATGGTGGCGCTGGGCGGGCTGGAGAGGCCGTGGGCGCACGCGGGCGTCGCGTACGCTGTCACCACGGGGTCGATCGTCGGCTGCTTCGTGCTGTCCGTGTGCTACCACTGCTTCATGGGCTGCCACCGGGACTACAAGACCTGGCTGACCCTGGACGTCTGCGGCGTCTACCTGGCCCTCCTGGGGTCACAGTGGATCGCGGTGGAGTGGGGGTTCCCCTGCCACCCCGCCCTGCGCCTCTGGGGCAACGCCATCTACTACGCGCTGGGCATCCCGGGGCTGGCGCTGTCATGCCTGGCCGGGAGCCCACTACGGCGAGGACTGCCCATGCTGCTCATGACGGCCGTTCGAGTGTGCCTGCTAATCCTTCGATGGGCAATCGCCCAGGGGAGTGCCGTCGCGATGCGCCATTACTGGGCGATGGAGGCGCTCGTGTTTGTGGGCGGTGTGGTGAACGTTTGCCGGTGGCCGGAGAGGTGGCAGCCGGCGCCTGGGCCCCGAAAGGCAGCCCTGCTAGACCACTGGGGAAACTCGCATCAGATCATGCACGTCTGCGTGGCGGCGGGCATGCTGCTGGTGCACAGGGCGCTGGGGGAGGACGCCGGGGAGGCTTTCAGGGCGGGGGTGGAGTGCGCCGCTCGGTGACGGCGGGCTGGTGTTTCGCATCTGCGGCTGTTAGGTGGAATGTTCCCCAAGGGTTTGCGCTGCCCTTTTCCTTGCCCCTGGCCAGGCAATTTGGTAGGGCAGCGGGACGTCCCATCAGTGGGAATCCCATCAGTGGGACATCCGTTCGTTCCACACTCTGTAACGCTCCTCCGTTCGTTCCATCATTGGTCAGACATCCTCCACCATCCGCACTAGCACAGAGGAGGTGGGGGGTTAAAATGTGGATGGGGACCGGCTTGTTCAGTCCCTTCCTTCTGGTTTCTGTCGCTGACTGTGCGTCCCGGGGGTGGCCAGGCACTGCCTATTACGAGTGGCTGCGTCTTTTGGCTACGAGGGGCGAAATGTTCGTGGGGGATGGAAGAGCTGGCTGATGGTTGGTCGTTGGAGCCGTCTGGCTTATTTCTGTGTAAGTCGGGCTATTCTTTCGCTTTTTGTCGGGTGCGGTTGTTGGTTTGGGCGCTTTGCAATGGTGAGCCACGGAAGGGTCTCTATTTTTTCGGTGTGTGAAAGTCGGGGATGTTGTGACCACAAAGCAGTTCCCCTGCTGCAGAGGTGCTGTCGAATGAGACGGCCCTTAACGCAATGCAACAATTTGGAAATGTAAGATCAATTGTTTACATTCCAGCTGCGGCCGAACTGTGTTCACCCCAACAATCCAGGTGAGTTACAACCCCCGGCAAACCCAACTGGGGTGGCTGAGTTGAACCAAGGGAGAAAGCATCCAAGTTTGATACTTCCAATTACCATGCCTTCCTCGGAAATGCATTTCTGCCTCACGTTAGAGCCTGCGCGTTGCCAATCACTGTGTTAAGGGACATGTCAGTGTCGATTTGGTATGCTTAACGTCAAACTTCCATCAAGATCAAGACATTTCCCTCCCCCTCCATCACAGCGTAAATGGTCACATCGACGCGGGGATGACTCAGCAACGAAGAGCGCCTCTGTGCAGTAAAGACATGGCGACAGCTGGCGTTGACGGCTTTACCATATTCAAACGTGACCCTTGAAGGAGAGAGGCCAGACAGCAGAAAACTTGGAGCCAGGCATACCCACAATGAACATGAGATGATGCTCATGGCTTGTGGTGCCATGGTTATGGAGACGCCCCCGTCCACTGCGCCTGATTCTAACATGTGGGACACAGGATCAGGATGTGGCGCCCTTTTCATTTGTGAATGCACTGGCATGCAGGTGTGAAGTCTTTTGTCATTAATGTTGTGCTTCCGGCCACTGGATTTGGCCACTTGGTTACGTAGCTCATGCTGCACATGCTGCACCACATCGGCCCAATGTAAGGGCCCGATGAGAGGTTCAACGATGACAGGGTAGCAATGGTACGACTTTGGGCGTTTTTTCCTTTGGGTGCGCACACCCATGCTGCATTGCATACATAGGCCACGACATTCATACTCCGATGAAAAGATACAGCTGTGTGTGCATTGCATTGCGCCCGCAAACTCTTGCGGGTTTTGTACAAAACTGCGGCAACTCAAAACTTCCTCCCGTCACAAGTCGTCTACCTACGCTGCAAGCTGCAAACATCGAGGATCACAACCCCGGACCACGACTGCTCTTCCTTCCCAACCTACAAACGGCACTACAGAATCTGTGCATATCCTCTCCAAAACCAAGTGCTTCAAAGACTTGCACCCATGACAAGCACCCTTGCGGGCTCATCACTTGATCGGGTTGAGAAATCCAAAGGGATCGGCAGTGGGTTCAGACTGGAATTCGCCCCAATCATCGTCCTCCACAGGCACAGGCTGCGCAACCTTGGTTGCGTCCACACCCCCTTGCACGGCTGCCTGGACTTCGGGTCCCGTGGTGGCAGATACCACTCCTGTCAAACGAGCAAGCTCCGACGCCTGCGGCGAAAGGGACAGATCCAGGACAGATCCTGTTGCAAGGGCCGGGGGGCGCATCGACGCATTGCCGTGACCACCTGCCATCAATTCTGGGAATTGAAGGTGCGGTTGCACAGCCGCCGTGGGCTCTGCTGCAGGGAGCTGGAAGCTGCCCCAATCAAAGTCCAGCCCTCCGCCTTGGCCAGCAGCAGGCTCGCTGCTGCCTCCATGTCCATGGCGAGGCGCCTTGGGGAGTCCCAGTTGGACCAGGGCCGATTGCGGCGGTCTCTCAGGCAAAACCAGCTGTGCAGCATTCAAGCCACTGCCAGGCAGTGACACTGGCGCAGACACGGACTCCGCTTGGAACGGGTTCGGTCCGCCAACAGCAGCCACATCCAGCACGAAAGGCGTCTCGCCTGCGTGATCGTCGTTCCCTTTAAAATCGCCCCAGTCGTCAGTGGAGGTGAATGCCGACGCCTGCACCGGCTCCTTGGCCACAGGCTGCTGCAAAGTCTCCACGACCGGCCCCTGCCCCGCACTCACCGTGCTGCCTTCATTCGCACCTGTGCCCCAGACATCCATTGCTCCAAGTCCAGAAACCCCAGCTTGTGCATTAGCAAATCTACTCTGGCCCATTGGTTCTGCAGATTGGTAGAAATCGCTGTCGGGCGGCTGCTGCCCATTTCCTTCGTCAAGTTGGGCCTCCTGCCAAACCAGGTCAGTGTCGCTGGACACCACCCTGTGGCCCACAAGAGCAGGCTCCCGACGCCAGGGGGTTCTCGCCGATCCGGCAACATCTATGCCTTTGGATGGTGGGCCAGACGAAAAGTCATCCAAATGGTCCCCGCCCCTGGTACTTGGAAGTTCTGAGCTCGAGTCCCCAGGGTGCAGTCCTACTGCTGGGCAACGAGCCTCTGACTCAAATTCGCCCCTCGTTGTCTCCACTGCAGAATCCTGCTCCCTCTGAGGTGACCAAGGATCTGCAGAGAGACTGGCTTTCTCCAATCCATCAGGCACGCTGTCCTTACCCTGAACTGCACTTGCAGCCGCGCCTTGCCAGAAAATCGAGCCACTGACTTCATCACTAGATCCCTTATCCCCTGGTTCAGCATTGGGAGATGGTCTGCTGATCAGGCCTCTATGGGACGCCTCAGATGGCTGCTCATCCAAATCAGTCTTCACAGTTTCCCCAAAGCCAACCTCTGGAGGGCCTTTGCTTCCATCGCTGAACATTGCTGACTCGAAGCCTCCATCCTCAAAAGACAGCAGGTCACCACCCGCATGGGCCTTACACGCAGGATTCGCCACTTCAGGAGTCTCAGAATACCATAAGTCCAAGCCGGTCCCCACACCAGTGGAGGGAGTCACAGCTGGAGGCTCCTGTCTCCCAGAGTTGGGCAGTTCTAGGGCAGGCACCTGGCAAAATGGATCAGTCATTTCCCCAAGGCCCGCTTTTGCAGGTGTGGGCAATGCCAAGGCTGGAATGTTGGCAAAGGGATCATCGACCCGCGCGGTGGTCCCCGCAGTTGACGAACCGTCACTGATGGCACTGACGCCACTGATGGCATTAGCAGGGGACAGGCCGGCCTGTGAGTCGCCAGAGGGATTCCTGCCACAATCGGCATTGGCTGTTGCAGTCCCGCTGCTGGTTTCGTGTGTGAAGGATGAGGACGATGGCTCAACTGAATGGGTGGAATCAGCAATGGAAAGATTCGATTTTGAAATGTTGCTCCCACCTGCGGACAACGATGCAAACCATGTCATGTCAATATGGAAACATGCGGCCATCATCCACAGGTGGGCCCTCTGCAAGGTTGGTGCATGAAATGACTGGTATACTCCTCCAAAACCTGGCTGGATATGACTTGTAGCTTCACTTCAAATTTGCAAGCTGGCACGCATGCAACCCTTCAGTCGTATGCCAGCACCCCTGCTTCATATGCCACTTTGTCATTACTTCATCCTGCACAACAATTGGTTCATGCATGGCAATGGGCAAATGCGTGCAGTGAAGGTACATCGAGACAGAAGAATAGGCATCTCTCAGGTTTGTCGGTGCAAACCCTGCTCCATGCCCACTGTACCAAACAGTTTGCAATACATGGCCAGCACATGATTGTCTTGAAAAGCTGGCTGTCACCATCCTACAGCAACCAGGCATTTCATCCTGCAGGAAATTGCAGATTCCAAGCCAAACCCCACATACCACCAACACATACTCCACACAATCCCAGTCATCTAAGACCACACACTGATTCAAAGTGCCCCATGGATATCTTGGGTCACATGACATCCCGTGCGCGATCACGCCATGTGTGACACCGTGCGTTTGGCGTTCAGGGGAATCTGCTTGACGCCTCCCCCTGTCACGCGACCCAAGATACCCCTGAGTAACATCTCTGTCACACACCTGAAGCTTGTACAAGAAAGTCGAAATCCAGGATTGCGTCCATGCCACCGCCTGGAGTTGAGACAACCTTGTTCTCATTCTGCGTGAAGGCAGCAAGTTCGCCAACATCTGCAGCAACATGGACGACATAAACATAAGGCATTCAAGTGGAAAATGTGGGACATTGACTGTGGCAATCAATTTACGAGCACGTGTATCCACCATGGTCTTTACGCTACACTGTTGGGGATGATGGAATTTTCGCCAAATGCTAGAGCACTAGGAGTCACTTTAATTTGCTCCAGACACAATGTGCAAACCAAAGAAATCGATGGAGATGTGCAGGATGGTAGTTAATGTTGCTTGTTATTGTCAGGAAACAAAACAGGCAGTCTGCTGTGGCCAAAGTACCAAAGGCACCATGGCCTTTGCAATTGCAACATCGTGATAATGGATTGTGGATTGCCATTCGGCCATCAATCAACTATTGGCTGATCTGCAAATAGTCTCCAGACAGGCAAACAATGACAAGCACACACCAACATGCATCAGGAAGTGATAGCATACCCATTTGGACTTGGCCCTTGTTTGTCTCAATCACCGGTTCAGGCAACCCCTGTGCACAGCACCGTTTGCGCTGAGAAACGAGAAAATGAACATGCTTGTTGCCCAGCTGCCCGCTGGCAGCAATCAGTCCACTTCAATGTGGGACCCTCTCCACAAGCAGACAAGGCTTTCACACTTACATACAATCACTCAAGTACATGAACAGAAAACACAAGTCGTTCAGCAGCATTCCAAGGCAGACTAGGAAGCCATGCTACGTTTGCCCAGGAGATGTCAGCCACTGTTTCAGCCCACAACAACGATTCAACTCTCAGTGGCCCACGGAAATTTTTGAATGCAGACAAAACCCAACCACTGCAGGATTCTATAAGGCTGCGCCACTGTGGATCTCGACACAAGCACAGGGCCTTCTGAACAGAGGCAGATGTTGCAAAAAAAACATGCGAATAGCAACAAGTGGAGCTATCCTGATTAGCGTCCACCACGGTCAAGTGGCCGCCATGTGGGGTCAAATTACTGAGCATTGGGCAGCTCCAGCACAAGGACGGCTACATGGTGCAGGTGCAGCCAGGGAGGGTTCAAAACAAGCATAGCTATTTCCTCATCCACAGCAGCCATTGAACTAGGAGCCTGGTGCAATAACCAGTCTTTCCATGGTCGACTTATGCTGTTACATCAAGCTAGCGGCCCACATTCTGACACACACTCTGAGAGTGGTGTACATCACAAGCAGCAGAGGGCCGATGCGATATCTTTTCTGATCGGATCCCCTCTTCCCAACAAACCAATATCAATGGCACCCTATGCAGGCATGATGACTTTTGTTGCTGGAGCTTCCAGATGGACTGAACAGGCCAATGCGCAAGTCCATGCTGTAAAAATGGGATATTGAGGCCGTTCATGTGTGCGAACTTATGCCTACAATTGCCTGAAAGGCTGAAGGGTCATGCAATGTCACTGTCATACAAATGCAGCAAATGCGACACCATCTGATTCAGGCTCTGCCTGTGCTGCTCCCATCACTCACCATATGTGTGAAGAGGCGGCCCTCTGCCCTTGACACCTTGGCTGTAAGCAGCACAGGTGGGCCAGCATTCCTGAGGGCACCAAGAGGAGGCTGGGCCAATGACAAGAGGCCAAAGGAGCCCACCACACCCACTGGCGGGCCCACATGGCGAAACCTCAAAGCATCGAGCAAAGCAGTGCCTTTATCTGCAGCAAGCACCATGAGAATAACATTGATTCATCCTGGGCCATTCAACTCTTGTTGATGAAGTTTTGATCCCATTCCCCCTTTCTTGTTTTCATCACACAATCATTGAGCGTCCCCACGCACCTGATAAAAGACAGGAGGGTCACTTACCGATGATGACAGTGTGTGGGCCATAATTTGATCAAGTCATGACAAGCAGCATTGGTCAGTAAGTCACTTGGATAGGAGACTGGTGTTACAGCCACTCTTGCATCCATGCAGTTCCAGAGAGGTGGCAACCGCAAGTTCCAGACTGTATTAACTCTCTGGGCCTGGCAGGGCAACACCAGGTCCCAGCGAACCCCTGCCCTTGTCTCCAGAGCAAGAAACACACCATAGGGCCAGTGGCACATGCATTGCTCACCCATTTCGCCATGTACAGAACTTTCTTCTGAGCCATCCCTCTTCAAACACAGGAAGAGCTTGGAGACTTCAGACAGGAATTCTTCACCATGAAGGGCAGTGAGATCTCTAGCCGCATCAGATGAGCTGCCCTGCACATCTCCTGCACACTTCTCTCTGGCAGACGTTGGCAACTCAGTGGAATCCTCAAAATCTCCAAACTCATCGTCTCCTTGCTCACCCTGAACTTCTTGAGCACTGTTTGGTTCTTGGGAATTCCCAAAATCAGCAGCATCCTCTGTGCCATCTTGAAATCCACCAAATTCGCCAAATTCGTCTTCACTGCCTTCAACGAATTCCCCAAAGTCAGAACCTGTGTCATTGTCTGCTCCTGAAGCTTCCCCTTGCAAAGCCTTTGGTTTTTTAGCTGATGCAGCAGCATTAGTCTCAGCGCGAGCATTGCCTGAAACGCTGCAATTGCCTCCACCAGAGTCAAGGGCATAAACAGGTTGTTCAACACTGTCAGTGGTGGGTCCCACAGGGGCCTGCCCAACAGAAGTTGACTCAGCTCCCTTTTGACTGCTATCAGTGTCAGTACCTGGCCCCTCTTTTCCACCCTTTGCTGTGCTTCCCGTCCATCCAGCAGGGCCAGCCCATGAATCAACAGCATCACCTGTGCCATCTAGAGTGCCACTGAATTCACCGAATTCTTCATCGTCAAATTCTCGAAATTTGGAGCTTGATTCGTTGGCCCCTCCAGAATCTTCCCCTTGCAAAACAATCGGTCTTTCAGATGGTGTGTCGGCGGGAGTTACAGCATCCACAATTTCTGATGTGCTGCAATCGCCCACATTGGAATCAGCAGGTTCAGCAGGCTTCCGAACATCACCTTTCGTGGGTTCTGAAGGGGCACGGGCATCAGAGTCTGGGACAGCATTGCCTTGATTAATGCCAAGGCCATCAATGCCAGAAGCCGCTTTCTTCACTCCATCCTCCCCTATGCTGCCCTTCCGTTCAGCATGACTGGCCTGGGAATTGATAGCCTTTCCTGCATTGTCTTTGCCAGCACTGAAATCACCAAATTCGTCAACATTGCCCTCCAACACATTGAACTTGCTGTCTTCAACGTGGCCTGCCATGGAATCATCTGCAAGAGGCACACGTGTGTCTGATGGCACAGCGACAGCAGTAGCCGGCTCGGCACAATCTCGAGATTGGCGATCCCCATCACCACACCCAACATCAACTGTTGCCTGGTCATCAGGGTGTATTGATGCAACAGAGGCCTGATCAGCAGAAGAGAAGGGCACAGGCCTTGTTTGGGTGTCACTACTGCCCTCAATGTGTTGGGGAACATGTCGGTCTTTATCGTCCACCTCATTCTCTCCTTGAACAGGAGTACTTCCTCCCGTCTCATCAGCATCGCATTGAACACCATTAAAGTCATCGAAATCCCCTTGGCCGCCTTCAACAAATGCTCCGAAACCAGTGCCTTCAGGAACGCTCGCAGTGGCCTTCCCTCGCGTTCCAACGTGCATTGGGTGATTGTCTTCAATGCTTTGAATGCTTTCCTTTGTTTTGCCAACCCCTGTGCTTTTCTTCTGCCCACCAAGGTCTTTCAAACATCCGTCCACTGCTGCCCCACTGCTCGATTCCTCCTCACCTTGATGGCCATCCGGCTCAGGCACTTGGCCACCAATTTCTTCATTTTTGCAAGCCTGCCCCTCTGACAAGGACAGATCGTCCTTGCACACAGCACCACCACGACTTTTGGATGCAGCACTAGCCAGATCCCCATCTTGTTGTGCTGCAGGACCAGCTGTTGCTGCAGTTTTGGCACAAGGGTCGGTACCCAAATCACCCCCATGGAAGCCATTTTCCTTTAGGCCCTCCTCGGCACGATCCGACTCTCGGATTTCATCCACATCACTGTGCTCTTCAGGTGAGGCCCACTGCACGACTGCCACCGTCGAATCGACAGAACCACGAGCAGCGCTCGCGAGCGCATCAGCTCCCTCTTCAGCGGCGCAAGAAGACTCCTGCCACCCCTCTTTCTGCCCGCTGCCAGTCCGCTGCTTGCCCTCAGGACAGGCAGGCCCATCGGATTGCAGCCCCTTTAAAGGACTGTCCCCGCTGCCTCCCTGCGCCACTGCAGGCCTCCCAAAGCCATTCACCCCCCACCCCGTCCTGCCGTCGGCAGCACCGCCTTCAACCTCGCTGCATCCGGCGGCTTGCTCATCGAGGCCGCCATCGCCCTTTGGCGCCATCCTGTTGCCCGGAGCATCTGTCGCTCCGGGTACATTGTCAACACTAGCTCCCAATCCCGATTCCCCAACCCCACCAGACTCAGTTTCCTTCGAGTGGCCTTCAAACAGAATTGGCTCTTTCGAGTCGCCACTTTTCCGTTCGGAGTGAGCAGGGGCGGAGACCACGTTCTCATCCTCAGCACCACCTTTGTCGCCATTCGACCGGCCAGCCACAATCACACCCTCTTCAGCCCCAACAGCACCACAACCGTCAGGGCTCCCAGCCAACGCATCCGCGCCGCCAGAGAGGGGCCCCCCGGCGCCGCCCCCCTCGATCCCATCGGCCCTTCCGCGACCGGCTTGATCCAAAAACAGCTCACCGGATGCTTCTCGCCGTCCGGCGGGCACCGTCGAGGAGAGCGCCTCATCGCCGCCGGCCCCCGCCACAACTTCGCGGACGCCGCTCGTGGAAGGCGCGTCCGCCGCGGGCGGCCCGGGCACCTCAGACTCCGCCATTGTTTTTTTCGGTCGCGGTGGCCCTGTCCTCAAAAACCGATATCCCGCCGCGCCCAGGCCGGGGCCCCCAGGTCAACCGGAAGCCCTCAAGCCAGAGGTGGGCGCCTTTCGCCCGTTGCGCGCGATCGGTTGTCCGCGCGAGACACCCACCCGCCTGCCAAGCGCACAGCCTTCTCAAGTCTGTGGGACTCTCCCGTTTGCGCTGCTCCGGGCTGGGAGTCAGGCAAAGAGAGTCGAGTTTAGGGCCAGCCAAGTGCAAATCACAGCGGCGTGGAGGCCCGGCAGCGGCAGACGAGGAGCAACCGCTCCTTGTGGGGTGGTGCGCGCCGTGCTGCCTTCTGGAGCGGCTGCTTCCGCCCAGAGGCGTCCACGGCAGCGGCGTCCCGACAGCCAAGTGGGGTCCCCCGGTAAGGGGGTCGTGGCCAACGCCCATCAACGCTGCCTAATGACCGGATTGTTTTCAACCCGTTTTCCCGTTTTGGGCCCCCCAAACCTGTGGCGATTTGTAGGGGCCGGCAGTCGATGAACTGTGGGCAAAAGGGGCGCAACCTCAACGTGTCGCACAGTTGCTTTGCCCCTTGGAAGACCAGCGGCCTGCACGACGCCCTAGGGCCGCGCGGTGGGGTCGAGGGCGGTAGCTGGGAGCCGGGAACCGCGGATCTCGCCCAAAAGCTGCTCTGCGATTTTCGTTTGCATCCAGTATGCTGGTGTCGAGAATGCTTCAGCTGGCGAGACTGACGCTGTGGCCCAAAGGCCCCCCGGTGCTGCCCTGCGCCCTCACCAGGTGAATATTCCGAAGGCCGCCTTTAAAGATGCGCGCACGTGAGGATGCGGGCGGACGCAAGAGTCCCCGACCCCGCGGCACTGCTCACATCAAGTCTGTCGCCCGGTTGTCGCAGGGATCCGGGCGGATGGTTCCAGGGTCTGGGCGTCAGATTGATGAGTTCCCTGCCTCCGCACACGGTGGGTGGGCGGCTGTCCGCGCGGCGATCACGGCGTTCTGTGGGCTGTGATCAAAATTCTGTTGAGAGAATGGAAGCCCGAAGGGATTGAAGTCTTGGCAAAGGCCCACAGTTAAAAGGGGAGGGCGTGCGTCGAAAGGCAGTGGGGCAGTCACTGTCGCCAAAGGAGAGGGCTGCTGGAAACGCGGCGGACGCCCTGGCGGCGTTCGCCAGGCCTGCCCATCGATAGCGCCGTCCGACAAGCATACGAGGGGTCGCAGTCTTCAGCCGGCGAGGATCAGTCGCTCGGCGTGCAATCCTATTTGCTGATCAATGCGCTGTGCTCTGATGTTCCACTTCTCCCGCCGCTGCGCGGGGCCGCGCCCCCAGGATCATCGCCTGCTTGCAGGACGGTCCTGTTCACGTGCCACCCTGTGTCTTTTCGGGCTGTCTGTTCCAGCAGAACTTGGTAATTTGATTTGTTTCGCTATTGGTTAGTTGCCCACATAACACCCAGTGTCTTTTCGGGCTGTCTGTTCCAGCGGAGCTCGAATTTTTTTTGTTTGCTGTGCTGTTGGTTAGTTGTACCATTTGGTTGTTTGGATGTGAGCTTTGTGGATGGCCTTGGAAAGATCAGGTCCCGCTCATAGTAGGTGAGATGGGGGAACCTGTGCCTGCAAACCAAGGACGCCAGTGGTTGCTCAGATGAGTGTTGACATGGGCGTGCAGATGCTCAACATGCCAGCACTGTCTCCAACAATGGAACAAGGCAGCCTGGCAACTTGGCACGTGAAGGAGGGAGATGAGGTGGCTGCCGGCGATGTTTTGGCAGACATAGAGACGGACAAGGCGGTGCTTGGATTCGAGAACCAGGAGGAAGGCTTCGTTGCCAAGCTCTTGGTCAAGGGTGGAGCAAAGGATATCCCCGTATGTTGCTTGGGCTTTGCTTGTGGCTTCCAGAACACAATTCACAGGGTCCAGGGTTCAGGCGATGGAAAACGCGCATTTAGTGCCGAAATTTGGCAGTCATTCCTGTGAATGAGGCTCAGGTGGCACGATGAAACTGAGTTTGTCCATCGACTGCATATGCAACAAGGCAGATTCAGACTTGTTAACACAGCATGGCCTGGAGCAGATAGTATCAGGATACCTGCACATCATAAGTGCTACCATAGAACCAACCAAGGAGCGCAACAAGCATTGCCGCATTGTGCTTGCTTCAATATGTTTTTGGTTTGAGTGTTGGCTGCCAGGTTTGGAGTGGCTCTCCATAATATGTCACAAGGGGGGTTGATGCTGGGTTGATGTTGAAATGTTTGAATTAAGTCGCATATCAATCAACCCTCCCAATTTTGTGGCCAGCAAAGTTGTGCTCATTGTCATATGGTCAGAGATGTGTTGTTATTCAAGGGCCACAAATGTGATCCTGATCTGTTCTTGCGCACACGCAGTGGATACCCTGTGGTGGTGACACACATACACAGCGTATCTTGAAAGCACAAATACAATGGTTGCTCATGAGATGATTGCAGCATTTTGAACTCTAGGTGGGAACAACTGCCGATGTCTGAGCTTTTTAAAGTGCAGAGAGACATCTAACTGGTTCCTTCACCATTCATTTGTCTGCCTGGCAGCAGCTAAAAACAGTTGCAGATTGTGCATAATGCTCCAGAGAAACATCGAATCTTGGCATTTCCCACACTAGGGGCTCGTGTGTTTGATGGCAGCACAAGCGAGTAGTGGGGGACACACAACGCTGTGGATTGTCAAGGCTGAGTTTGCCACATCGCAGCAATGTGCCTGAATACCTGCTAGTGTGCTGGTGTGGAGTAATTTGATAGCCGCATCACTCAGTCTCTTCAGCCCTGTGTTCACTCCCAACCCCTCAAAGCTGCTGCTGTCTGCGCCTTGACTTGTTATGTGGATTGATTTTCATTGCTATCTGAACATGGGTTATGACCATGGTACAGAATGTGTTATGTGTCCATACAGTGCAAGCTAAGATGTGCATATCTCCGAAAACCTCATCCCCTGTACGGGGCCAGGGGTTCCCACCTGCACCATTGATGTGTGGGTGCATGATGGTGGGTGCAAACCTGTATGTGCCACAGGTTGGCACCCCTGTTGCAATTCTTGTGGAGAACGTTGAAGACGTCACAAAATTTGAAACCTATGAGCCAGAGGCTGCCTCCCCTTCTGCACAATCGCAGCCTGCAGTTGACAGTGCACCACAGCCCCCCAAAGTGGTGCCTCCAACTCCCCGGGCAAGTAGCATTCAGGATTTTCAGGTAAGCTGAGCAGTGAAGCCCCTGTTTCTGGAACGCTCTCTGTTGTATGCAGCACACTTGCCAAGCTCGTGGCTACTCACCTTTGTTTGGGTTCAGTTTTTTTTTTCTCTGCAATTTCTTGCTGGTCTCAGACACTTCTGCATCATGTTCTACAGTCTGACTGCGCTTGTAGTCAAGCCCAACATCAACTTAAGGTGCAAAGGGCAGTGTTTCATTATGTGGAAAATGTAATCGCTGGTTGGGATTCTGCAGTGTGGGAAGTCTCGTGCAGACTTGGTCCCCAATAGGTGCTGTCTACCGCGGCAGCAGAAGTGCAAGCAAGGTACAGCTCTTGCAATCCTGGTTGAGCACGTTGATGCTATTGATCACAGTCCCTGGTGGTCTTTGCTTAGCTGCGACATCAAATGCTGCACCTGGTTTTGGATGGTGCAGGGCATGAAAATCGGTCCAGCAGCAAAGAAGCTCATTCTGGAACATGGGCTATCCGCAAGTGTCATTCCCAGTACAGGTCCCAGGGGAATGGTGACCAAAGGAGATGTACTGCTTGCCGTCAGCAAAGGGGCAGGCAAGGTGGCAGAACCTGCGACGCCTGCACCCAGGAAGGAAGCACCGCCTCGCCAAACTGTGACTGAGACTTCAAAGCAGGGAAAGGAGACCCATGTTGAGGGTGTGCCCTTTATGGACACCCCAACGACCCAAGTCAGGCGCATCATCGCCAGCAGATTGCTGGAGTCGAAGACGACCATCCCCGCGCTGTACGTCAGTGCTGACGCTGATGTGGATGCGGTATCCCTGATGCGCGCGAGCCTGAAGCGACAAGGCACCCGGGTGTCTGTCAACGACTTTGTGGTGAAGGCCGTGGCTCTGGCACTGAAGGACGTTCCCAGAGCCAACGCCTTTTGGGACCAAGCCAGGGAGGATGCTGTTCACAGCAGTGGCGTGGATGTTTCGATTGCTGTGGCGACAGACAGTGGCCTTCTCACTCCGATAATAAGGGATGCAGACAAGAAGGGGCTTCTGGAGATATCTGCCGAGGCTCGGCAGCTCGCGCAAAGGGCCAGGGAGAACAAGCTCAAGCCAGAGGAGTTCCAGGGCGGGTCGTTCACCATATCCAATTTGGGCATGTTTGGGATTGATGAATTTTCTGCCATCATTAATCCACCGCAGGGCTGCATAATGGCTGTTGGGGGGTCACAGCAGGAAGTGTTCCTGGAGGGAGGGGAGCCAAGGGTGAAGGACAGAATGAGAGTCACCATTTCTGCTGACCATCGCGTCTTTGATGGGGATGTTGCGTCACAGTTCTTGAACACGTTCTGTAGCTATTTCAACAATCCAGTGAAGCTCATAGTCTAGACTTGCAGTGGCGGTAGGTGGGTCTACATGCTGAAAAGTGCTTAAATTATCAGCCTTCAGGAGAAGACCGGCGTGTGGTCATGAGCAGAGACTGGACCGACAACTTTGCAGCCTTTGTAAAGGGATGTGAGCTATCCAGCTGTCTGACCGGGAGTGGTTATCAGTTGGCAGGGCTTAGTGGATGCAAAATAGCACACATCAGAAAATCTGCTTACTGGGTGCTTGTCCTTGCAGCCTCGTCTGACACCAGGTCAGAAAGCGGTTACGTTCAGCCATTCTGCAGTGGTGAGCAGCGCGTTGCGAGGTCGGCGGGGTTGCTCAACGAAAGAATAGGGATGTAGGTACTTGACGAAGGGGTTGCATTCAGGGAACATGTGCGTTTGATATGAAGGAAGTTGTAGAATAGGTCAGTATGCTGTTGACGTTGGTTGTACACGAACGGTTGACCAATGTTGCTGAGAAAAACGAGTAGTGTGTAGGTGAGAAGGTGATTGATGGGTGGACATTGAAATGTGCAATTTGTAATTGGGCATTGCTTCATGCTATGGTGCACAGGCGGTTGTTGCGGACACAATATTGAGCAGGTTGCAAAGGATGGGCGCGATGCTGCAATAGTTGGTTACTGTCCTGTCAATGGTTGGGGTGGCACACGACCGCAACCATTAATATATTGGTGACGGGCAAACGACGTCCATGTATGAAAATGTTGTTCACGCGCATTTACACGGGTATAATTTGCCACATTGGTCATTTTACCAAGCTGCGTTCCACGCAGGGAGAGACGCCCAGCGTTCGACGCCTTGTTCAGGGCGAGCCAGCGGAAGGCGCGGACGAAGCGCACCCTCTCCCAACCCCCGAGACCCTTTCCCCAATCGAACCCCTCCCCCAGCCCCCCACACCCTGTGCCCAGCCCAACTCCCATTGAAACTTATCCCGGCAAACGTATCCCAAAACCCTTCCCAAAAATGGTCCTGCCACCTGACGTTCATCCGTCGAAGGGCCAGACGATGTGGACAAGCTTGTGCTTCTTCTTGGGCTCGGCTTTGCGCGGCATGGGCGACGGGTGCATCGGCGGCTGCGCCGGCGCCGGGCACGGAACCAGCACAAAGTCGATGACGTGCACCACAGCGGAGCAGGTCTCCACATCGGGGACCACGACCTTGGCCGACGTCTGCCCACCCTTGACAACCACCCCATCCTTGGTGTCAAACGTCAGCGCCGATACACCGCAGGAGCTGTCCTTGCCCAGCAGCGTCTCCGCGGTGGCGCCGTCCACTATGTCGCCCGAGCGGACGGTGGTGCCAAGGACGTGGTACAGCAGTATCTCCTTGAGCAGGTCGCTGTCCGCCACGAGGTCTTTGAGGGTGATGCCCAGGGCCTTAAGGGCCGCGTCGAAGGCGTCGTTGGTGGGCGCGAAGACGGTGAGGGGGGCGGCCGGGGACACGACGGCGTCCACAAGGCCGGCGGCCTCCAGGGCGGCCAGCAGGGTGGTGAGGTTGGCGGCGGTGGCGGCCTCCACCAAGGGCGTGCACTCCGGCGCTACGGACAGAGCAGGGAATTTGCGCTTAGGGTGTTGGCTGGCATGCTGGTAATTTTTCCTCTGTCCCATATCAGGTGTCTTCTATATCTTGGCGCGTTATTTCACCAGCAATGGGTCTTCCTTTCCACAAACATTTCGTACGAGGCTGCGTGTGTGAGTCTGGAATACGTGGTCACAAAAACAAGAAGTATGTACGGGCTTCGCGTTGGATTGTGCAAGGTGCCATCCCTGCACTTTGCGCCTAACCTGCTGTCACAGGATATGGTATCTTGCATACCGCACTCAGTCCTGCACTGCATGGCTGTGTTCATTTGTCGCTAAGATCGTGTACGTACAGTGCGTTCGTGCTCACCATGTGACTTCGCTGTTATTCCTATGATGTTGTTGCCCAGCAGGTGCTCGTGGATCGCAGTAGGTGGCTGGAACAGCAGAAATCAACGATGCCTGTGCGTCGTCTACGGGGCGATTTGCGCAGAAATCAAGTCGAACTAAAGTTGCAGCGTTGCCTATGCTGATGGAACACTGCGCCGCAGCGCAATCTCGTATTGAAGGCCCTGCTTACGCCGGGTGGAGGACTTCAGGCCTCCTGCCTCATCTGTGCGCGAGCTGTACTACTGACCGATTTAAAGTAATGGCATGCGCCAGTGTCGAGCAATTGCCAGCGCAAGATTGCTGGACAATCCATAGCAATCCCCATGAAGGTGGCAGGCGTACGCGCACATCCAGGTGGGATTTCGGTGGGTGCAACAGGTACACTGTCGATTTCTTAAGCGATTTCTCTGTTCGAAAAACGGGCGGTAGGCGCGTGTCAGTCCACTCTCCGCCAATGACGGGACCCACAACGTACGGGTCCGCAAATTACGGGTGCTGGGGATGTCATGGCCACAATGGAATCAACACACAGGCGCCACCAAATCTCCGCTGTATGCAAGCGTCGGGCCGTCGTCATCGCAATAAAATCCGCACACAGAAAGTGACTAATCCCCAACGCGCCGGGGCATTCTGGGGACCAGAAGCTCACCTGGCTCCGGCTCGGGCTCAGGCACAGGCTCAGGCTCGCCCAGCGCGCAGGGCAGCAGCACGAAGTCGATGACGTGCACGACGGCCGTGCAGGTCTCCACATCTGGGGCCACCACTGTGGCGGAGGAAGCGCCCCCCACGACCACCACCCCCTCCGTAAGGTCGAACGTCAGAGCGGACACGCCGCAGGAGCTGTCGTTACCCAGGAGGGTCTCCGCGGTCGCCGTGTCCTGGATGTCGCCGGAACGGACGGTCGTGCCCAGCACGTGGTAGAGCAGGATCTCGGTGAGCAGGTCCTTGTCGGCCACGAGGTTGTCCAGGGTGACGCCCAGGGCCTGAAGGGCCGAGTCGAAGGCGTCGTTGGTGGGCGCGAAGATCGTGAGTCCGGGCGCCTGTATGGCGTCCACCAGGCCGGCGGCCTCCACGGCGGCCAGCAGGGTGGTGAGGCCGGCGTCTGTGGCGGCCTCGAGCAAGGGCGTGCAGACTTCCCCCTCGTCAGCTGCGCGGGGAGGAAACACGGTCGTCAGGATTTTCACGGACAGCGTCGGCGTTGATGCGAGTCTCACATTTCATTTTATTTTCGATTTTCATCTATTTCTATTGTTTTTTTCGTTGTTGTAACAATCTTTTGCTTTTCTGTTTATTTTTTTATTTTTAACTAACGCTTTACTGTTTTGGGGTGCGTGGGGAGGGGGAAAATGGCGCTTTTGACCGAAATCTGCGGTCCTCGGAAAACGTTGCGAGAGGCTGCAATCGCATGGAAAGACACGGTATCCATGGACGCAATGTGCCCGACGGAATGACGGAATCTTGTTTCTAAAGCACCTGACGAGCTCGATTGGGTGGCGCCATGTACTGTATGCAATACAAGCAAGGGGGAGCAAACCACTGACGCGCCAAGAAGGGTGCGCACTCACACAGGACCAGACGCAAATGGATCGAGGACGGTTGTGGGCTCCGCCTTGGCGTGAAAATGCCAAACTGTAGAGCCGGATAGTAGGTACACGAGACGAACACCGGGACAAACAATGGACACAGCGCTCTTGTGCGGTTGGCTGGCGACACAAGCCTCAGTGGCCGAGCCGCCCCAAAGGGAATTTCATCATCATCACCATCATCATCACAAAGCCAAACGAAGCCGCACCAGGGCTTACCAGCCGGGGCATCTGTCATGGTGACGGTCACGCCCTCCGGAGGCGGCTGCTCGCCGACGGGGCAGGGCAGCAGCACGAAGTCGATGGCGTGCACCACGCCCTGGCAGGTCTCCACGTCGGTGATCAACACCGTGGCGTTCGTCGCCCCTCCAATGATCGTCACCCCCTCCTCGGTGATAGACGCGCTGATCGTCGAGACCCCGCACGAGCTGTCGTTGCCCAGGAGAGTCTGGTAGCTGCCGTCCTCGCTGATGTTGGCGGCGAACACGGGGAAGGTGAGCACGTGGTAGGTCAGGATCTCTGTGAGCAGGGGCTTGTTGGCAACCAGGTCCTCCAGTGTGATACCCAGGGCTGCCAGGGCTGCATCGAATGCGTCGTTGGTTGGGGCGAACACAGTGAGGTCCGTGGCGCCGACGACCGTGTCGACCAGATCGGCGGCCTCGAGCGCGGCCAGCAGGGTGGTCAGGCCGGCGTCTGTGGCCGCTTCGACGATCGGGGTGCAATCTTGGGCGCGGGCGCCTGCGAGGCAGGGTAAAGGCGGGACGCGTCAGCCATGGGTAACGGCGGCGAACAAACTGGGGAAACACAGGGTCCCGGGAAAGGGGTGGGGCGACGACTATTGGTTGGGCATGGCAGTTTGCGCCAATGTAAGATGTGGCAGCAGCGGACAGGATCGACGCCGCAGGCTGGCAGCCGCGCGAGGCAACGCAGTGGCAGCAGAGGCGAATGGCAGCGACCAAAATGGGAAAAACTGGCGCGAAAAGGGGGTGGACAGTGACTAGTGGTTGGGCATGACGGCTGGCGCCGGTGTGCAATTCGGCAAGAGCGGACGGACGATTGACGCCGTGGACTGGCAGCCTGGCAGCCATGCAAGGCAAGCAGAGACGGGCCACTTCAGCGATGGCCAGCAGCAGCGACAAACTGAGAAAAAATGGCGCGCGGGGAGCGGGTGGGCGATGACTATAAGTTGGGCGCAACGGTCTGCACCGCTAAGAGATAGGGCAGGAGCGGACGGTCGATCGATGCCGCCCGCTGCCCTGTGGGCCGCGCGGATCGCGAGGAGGATCGGCGGGCCGCGGGGGTGGCGGCCTGTGCTTGCTGCGCTGCAGCCGGTCTGGAGCCGCGGATAAGGGAGGGATTGCGCAACTAGAGCAACGACGGGGGCGAAAGCATCCTCTTTTGTCCTGTGGGCGTAGCGCCTAGCTACGGCCTGCGCCCTTTCCCTATGGGAAAGAAGAAACAGGCGGGAAAATGGACAGGGGGCCGAGCTGGTGAAGATGCGATGCATGTACATCTGTTGCGTTGAAGACCCCATGGCTGGACAGAATGCCGGGAGCAGCCATCCATACCCGCGCGTCGGAAACGCGAGGCGCAACGCGTGAGGCGCACTTTGACGATCCACGCCCAGGCGCGGATCAACGTCAACATTGAGACAATGGCCGAACGACAACCAGCCACCACAGCTGTCGATTCAACCATCCGTGCACGATTGCAAGTAAGAAACCCGAGCGTGGAGAACACCAAACACTACGCGTACTGCAAACGGCGCCGTTCCGCGCTATCGGGCCAGGCGGGGGCCGGCGACCGCCACGACGATGCCGTACGGAGGGCCGCAGCGCGATCGCGCGCATCTCACCGACGAACAGCAGCCCCAGCAGCAAGGTCACCATGGTGGTGCGCCCCATGGTGTGTTGTCCCCTGGGGATCAGTTCCAACCGCTTTCCTGTCTCGGCTTGCCCGTTGGAGGAGGGCGGGGAAGGGGCAGTGTGCAAGACAAAATGGCAAGCCACGCGAGGCATATATACGTCCACGCAGCTGACGCGCACGTGTGGCTCAGAACGCGGTCCACTATCAACCACAGCCAATGGTATTTTCGTATACCGTGACTAGGGGCCACGTAAACCCACTGTGGGCACAGCGGGAAAGTGCGCGGCGGCCCCCGAGTAAGGCCATTGTGCCGTCGGGGCGCAGCGGACGCGGCACTTTTCTCCAGGGCCAGAAAACTGGCCCACGGCTGAACGGAAGAGGGTGCACCCGGCGTGGGAAGTTCCGGAAGTCTCTTGGGAAGTGCACACGGAGGCGTGGGCGGGGTGGCGCCAAGGCCGTCCGTGGAACCTCGGCGGACGCGCACTTTCACCGAGCGACCAACCAACCAACAACCAATGCGTGTTGGAGGAAGCGGCAGAGGGTGCTTATGACAGAAGAACCTCGTGTAATGAAAGAGCCGTGCCGCTGTATTTGCTGCGGCAAGCAGTGGTCTGTGTGTGCGCTGGGCTAAGGCTGTGGAGCTGTGGAGCTACGGCAAGCAATGGTGGGTTGTGGGCTTACTAGTCTTGTGGACTGACTCGTGGTCAGGGTTGTCGCTGTTTGGATATTGTGAAACTTGGGGAAGGCGCTGTGCCGAATTTGGCACGGTTGGCGTCGTTTCGACGTTGGGCTGAGACCCGCACGCCCACCATGCCTCATAACGCCGACCCCTGTGTCGATGTCAAGATGACTCATCAACAGTACCTGGAATGGTGACGCGAAATGGAATTAACTATCCTGTTAATGGGTTTCTGCTGAGGACGACGATTGGGTGGGCGCGCAACGGCCAGGGCGGGCCGTTCCGCCCTTTGGGACAGTTTGGGCCATCCATCAGCCGGTTTCTGTCACCCCTGTACTCGGGGTCAGTGCTGCCCGACGCACTCAAGGGCAGTGGGGTTGATCCTTGTACCTTGGGCGCAGCCAAGGGGACCGGTCAAGCTGGCCCTTGGGTTTGGCGGGGAGTTTGGCGGCAAGTGGGAGCGGCTATTTTAGGCGCGACCCTTGGTGCCCCCCTTATCTTGTTTCGCACCTGCCCGGCCCACCCGAATAGTGTGAGTTCGGTTAGCTGTGGGATGGAGAGGGAGTTGAGTACGAGGAAAGGGGAGCTGACTCTGGGTTGAGTCACCATCAGAGTGGCATTAAGTACTATGCGAAGCGAGGGGCACATTTTCAGTGGGTCGCCAATCGGGTCTTGTACTAGTGAGGTGATGGACACCAAACTGTGTGAGTGTAATGTATTGTCGTGTGGGGAACACGGGGGGGGTTGAAGGAGACCGGTAAGGCAGAAATCGAGATTGCTTCAAGGAAGCCAAACAGACAGAGCTGGAGCGATTGTAGAGGGTCGAAAATGGGATGTTGGAAGCCATGGCAGCCGATGGGGAGAGCCCTGGAGACTACCAATTAGAGCATTTTGGAGTTCCCATGAAGACTGTACGCTTGAGGTAAGTCTTGGAACAAGTTGTGACTGGTTTGCCGAATCATCACCCATTGGCTGTATACTCCTTTAGTAGCCATGGACGCGATCCTGGCCATCGCCTTGCAAGGCGATGGTCAATTGACCATTGCTCCTCTGGTCGCAGCTACACCACTTGGTGCCTACGCCATCACCATGCAACAGTTCCGTCGTTTCCACGACCACCCCTTTGTCACGCCACCCATGTCACAGCTTCTCGTCCATTTTCCATGCGCCCTTCGCCATCGAGGCCCCATCTGTGATTCATCGCCACCAGGCTCGGTAGTTAAGGCGTAATCACTTTTCTGTTTAAGGCCACTCACGCGTAAAAATGGCTTTTACGTTTTTACACGGAAATTGTCGTAAAAATGGGCCCTGTGTACTTGAAGACAGCACAGACTCAGGGAGAGAAAAGGCCCAGCCTCCGGCGACGTCGCCGGCGACGGCGACGCGACTTGCGGCGACGTCGCTGAAAGGAGTTGGGAGGATGGCTGGGCGTCCGCAGCGTCGGCGGGATTGTCGCAAGGGGGGATGGAAGGGTCGCCGGGGCCGCCGGCGGCGTCGGCAGGGCTCTCGGGTCTCCCACTGACGCCACGGGCAATGCGGCAGCGACGTCGGCAACCCCCCTGCGACGGTTGGGCCTCTGGGTTGGGCCTCCAGAGCCTGCGCCCCCTATGGGAAGCTGCCCTGACGGTCGCTTGTGCCGCCCATCATCGCTTATAGGGGGCTACAGCCGCAGAGCGCCCACTGGCGACCTCCTTCAGTACCAAATCCGTGTGCCATGGCTGGTGGCGTGCATGTTTTTTTTTTCTTTTTTGGGGGGAAGGATGTGTGTTGTGTATTTTCTTGCACCAGGTGGACCCAGCACACACCCTTGGCCAGTGACCTGCCCGAAGCGGTCATGCGCGCTGCAACTGCATTCCTACCAAATTTAGTAGTTGATTCAGCCAGTTCTGCTCAACAAGACGGAATGGCACACAAATTTCTCTGCCGTGATATTACCATCCAGTCCATCAAGGCAGCGCATCCCTTCTACCTGAATTGCCACTTGTGTGTCCAGATTTGTAGAAGGGGTATGCCATTCCATCCCTCGGACACTTTGGGCAAACACTCCAGAGGCATGCACACACCGTGCGGCGCGGTCCATCAACACGGGTCCAATCAGCACCCCATTCCTTCTTCCAATCATTCCGTCCAAGATGACCAATTTCATCAAAACTGATGTTTCTGGGCAGTGCCTTTGCCCTTTCAAAACTGAATCGTTTCGGTCGTGCATTTAACTACTTGTGCAGGTCCCGTGCAGTATAGCTGCCGGATATGTTGCATTCCTTCAAAGAACAAATGAACAAATGAACATATTTGTTCGCACCCAAACATTACTGCAATAATGCTGCCTTTCCCTCTCAGCGCAAAATGTGCTTTCCTCCCCACCGCGTTCTGGCCGTCCCATTGCCAACTGTTGAACCATACCGCTCTCTTCCTGGATCTCTGGCGTGCTTTTACTCACTTTGAAGCATTGCTCATCGGCTTCCTTGCTCATTTTCTGACAGATCTATCGTGTTGTGTCGCCATTTAGTCGCTACCTGTAGGCCATGTGCCCGCGCATCGAGAGAAGTAGCAACTCGACTAATGGAAGACATAACAGCAAATGCAGCTATCCTCTGCCAGCGGGTGAAAAAGCGATCATGCATATTTCACCCCCCAAAAGTGCTCTGGTGCCAGCTTGAAACATATGCACAAGAGGTGCCGTCGCGTCCTCGAACTGCGCCGCTTTTCGCTCAAAGTGTGGAAGCAGCTGTTTGCTCAGTGGTGCACCATGGCACGCTCCGGACCAAAATCTTATGAACGTGCGTGTTTTGATTTCAAGTCGTGGGGAAAGCTGTGGCAGGCCACAAGCATCGTTTCCCTGCCATCGGAACGATAGGTCTCTTGAAATAGCATCAAACCAGCAGCAGAGATGCATCTAATGCTGGTACTATTTGGTATATATCTTGGCAATATTGACTTTGGTAATGCCGGTGTGGTAATGCTGGTAACATTTTGTATAATTCGGCAATACTACCAAAAGTCAAGATACTGTCAGAGTTGCGGTAAACAGCTGGACGACAGATCTGCGTCTCGAGAACCACAGTACTGCATCGACCAGGAAGCACGGCATGCTCATGCTTCTCTTCTCATGGCCATACGCATGTGTTAATGACTCGTAATGATTCGTCGATACAATCCGCATATTATGTTAACAACTCGCAAGAATTTGTAGATATAATCCGCACAGTTTCAAGTACGCTTTCCCTCTTCGGCCATCGCTCCCATGTGTTGCTGACGGGTGACGAGCGGATAGCATCAACGGACGAGGGACAGAAAAACAGTTCAAGCGCACGTGCCAGTCATCGCCTGCAAACGTGAACATGGGAATGAAATGCGCTCATGGTGGTGCTTCACGGCCCATGCCGCCTGACACAGCCGCGCGAGTTTCAGCGGTGGAACACTATCAACCCATCACACCAATTGAGCAACTACAACAAAACTCCATGGCTGCCGCAGTCAACATCCCTGTAGCCATCGACACCACCAGATCAATCCCTTATTCGCCCCCTCGTGAGAAAGCCGCCTTCCATGTCAAAAACTCACAGGCAGCCAGAGGCGGTCACGTGACAAGCGCTTGCGCGCAGTTCAGACAAGTTGTTCGACAGTTTTGGGGTCGGGGTCATTTCGCCACCTGCCGGCTGGGGCGATCTTCCAGCACAAGCTGTGATTCATATTCGCCTCAAGGCCACTTTGCCCTCCCTCACAGACGCGAGGCTGTGTTGAGCACCGCATCCATCCAGTTCTCCAAAAACGGCTGCGTGCACGCGCCTCTCAATGCCAATTTTGAAGCAATGGCATCAGCCAGCAAGCTCTACCCATCCCGGGGAGGGCTGCGCGTGAGTCGCACCTAATCATGGTTGAAAACAGTCACCTTCTGGCATATCCACCGCCAGTACGTCTCACTCCAGATGCATTTGTAAACATCGTGTGCACCTCTGGGTTTTCGGGGTGCCGTCCTCTTTGGCGGAAACCTTTGGAGTTCACAAGGCAGGAGCACGGTGTCCACTGCGTGGATGATGCTGGTGCCTGCCTCTATGTCAGCTTCGATCACCTGCACGTGCAGAACTGACTTTTAGCAAGGGCAAGCTCTTCCACGGAGATAACATGTCCAGATGTGGCACACATTTCCCTAGTCCCTGAAGGTGACGCGGGTACAAGCTCCATCCACACTGCTTGACCTCGTCTTTCACCATATGGATGGGGCCACTGTCGGACCACTGTCAAGGAAGTGGACATTGGCCTCAAGAGCCTCAGTTGCAAATGCCAACAAGAAGCTCTCCAGCGACTGAAAGCTGTGTTTGTGGACACTGGCTCAGCCTAGTGTCTTGCCCAGTTTCG